TGTTAGCCAGGATGGTCTCGATTTCCTGACCTCGTGATCCGCCAGTCTCGGCCTCCCAAAGTGCTGGGATTACAGGCTTGAGCCACCGCGCCCGGCCAAGAAACATGTTCTAATGAATCTTCTCAGGAAGCTGAGGCAGGAAGATCGCTTGAGCCCCGGAGGTTGAGGCTGCAGTGTGCTATCATTTCGCCACTGCACCCCAGCCTGGGTTACAGAGTGAGATCCATCTCAAAAAAATAAATTACAGAAAGATAAACTGCAGAGCATAAATGCACACAAAACCAATGGATGAATCAACTTTTCCTTGCAAAACTAATGACTGAGAATACTCTAAGTTACATAATATCAGGCCAGGCGCTGTGGCTCACACCTGTAACCCCAACACTCCAGGAGACTTGAGGTGGGAGACAACTTGAGTCCAAGAGTTCGAGACCATCCTGAGCAACATAGCAAGACTGTCCTTAAAAAAATAACCTCAAAAGCAATACTGTATTAAAGGGAGTTACAGATGGATATATACAGTAAAATAGTCTAAAAGTAGAACACTATCTAAATAGTAGAACAGCATTACCTGAAGTTTAGAAATACATTACTAATACTATAATTGTTTATGGACACACACATATGAAGTAAGGTAAAAGGAAGGGTGCAAATCCACTTTATAATAGCAGTTATCTATGAAAATAGTTTCAAAAAGGGTAACAAATATATCTCTAAATGTTTTGGGTGGGCCAGTTGCGGTGGCTCATGCCTGTAATCTGAGCACTTTGGGAGGCTAAGTCGGGAGGATCACTTGAGCCCAGGAGTTCGAGACCAGCCTGGGCAACATAGTGAGACTCTGTCTCCACAAAAAATAAAAGATTAGCGGGTACAGTGGTGAGCGCCTGTGGTCCCAGCTACTCAAGAGGCTGACATGAGAGGCTCGCTTGAGTTTGGGAGGTCGAGGCTACAATCGCACCACTGCACTCCAGCCTGAGCAGCAGAGCGAGACCCCCGTCTCAAAAACAAAACAAAAACTTGATAACATAGTCATAAATTAGCATTTATCGAATGATAAATATGTGCCAGACTGTTCTAAGCCCTTTCCCTGCATGATCTCAGTGAAGTCCCACAATAGCCCCGTGAGGTAGGTACTGTCCTTTATCCCCATTGCAGGGATGGGGAAATTGAGGCCCTGAGGTAGAATAGGAGCAGGTAAGCGATGATGCCGAGATAGGCCCAGGACTACCTGGCTCTAAATCCCCAGCCCGGGTACCGACATACTGTCCCAGGGTGGGAGAGGTGGTCTTTCGGGTCCGGGCACCGCGACCGCGGCCCAGGCCCGCCTGGCCAGCCATGCCTACCGTGTAGAGCGTCAGGTCGACATGTCGCCACAGCCACCGGTCGTCCACCAGCCTCTTCCAGCGGTGACAGACCCTGGGGGAGGGGACGCGCGGTTAGAACGACCCCAGCCCCAGGCCACATCGCATCTCCAGGTCCCAGGTGCGCCCTCCGCCCGGCCCTTCCCCCTCGGAGGCGGGGCCGCACCTGGAGATGCGGATCCGGTCCCGTACCGGGAGGTAAGAGAAGATCTCAAGCAGGACTGAGTCCGGCAGTTCGACCAAAGTCGCCATGATCCCGCCGACACGCACTTCCGCTTCCGGTTAAGGAGACCCGAGGGGGTCCCCCCGGGGGCCCCGAGGCGGCTGACAGGGCGGCGGCCGCGACCTTCCCGTAGCCGGTAGAGGACTTTGACTTTCCTCTCGCTGGGCAGTGATTGGGTTCCAGGGCCGGACCAGCCGCGGATGGGGACCAGAAACCAGACTGGAAAGCGTGACTGAGGCAGTGAGAGTCTTGCGGGACGTGGCTGAGGCGTGATTTGGCCGCGACTGGGAACTAAGACCAAGTCCGCAAGGCGGGGCTGGAATGAGGCGAAGCTCGGGGGCGGAGCTAGAGACGAGGACCAAGTCCGAAAGGCGTGGCTGGGGTGGGGCGAGTATCGGAGGCGGTGCTAGAGACGAGGACCGAGTCTGGAAGGCGTGGCTGGAGTTGGGCAAGGCTCAGGGACGGAGCCAGAGACCGGACCCAAGTCCGGAAGGCGGGGCTGGGGCGAGGCTCGGGGGCGGGGCTAGAGACGAGGACCAAGTCCAAAAGGCGTGGCTGGGGTGGGGCGAGGATCGGAGGCGGGGCTAGAGGCGAGGACCAAGCCCGGAAGCCGGGGCGAGGCCTAGGTGGGGCTGCAGACGAGAACCACGCCTGGAAGGTGTGGCTAGGGCGGGACGAGGCTTCCGGGGCCGGGAGAGGTCCGGACAACCGCTGGAAGGCGGGGCTGGGGCGGGACGAGACCCTGGGGGCGGGGATGGCGACAAGGACCTAACCGAGAAGACGTAGTCGGGACGGAAACGAGACTGCAACAGGACCCGGCGCCAAGGGCGTGGCTGGGGAATACGAAGACGCTCCGAAGGTGGGGACGGCGGAGGGAGACAGCGAGAAGACCACGCCAT